AGTACCCTCAAATTCTTCATATACAGTTCTTCCAAGTCCGGAGATTCCCACATTAGTGGATCCCCCCACAGAATATGTGTTGTTCGATGGTGTTGATGTTAGCTAACTCTATTGGGGAGAACTGGACGGCTTAATTCTCCACCACAGAGGGTTGCTAAAGTTAGCTAAGTGGGTTTACTTTTGACACTATAATAATTGTGCCAGTTGGTTTATCTTTGTACTTTATATTTGTACAGAAAAAAAGTGGGTTCCGTCCACAAATTAAGGATTGCAAAGTTTGCGGTTATTCGGTTTCTTAAAAGTCCATAGAGGGATATGACACGACTAACGCAGGTATTTATAAAGCTTGTATACTAGTAGTGTGCTACAAAATACTCATTATATGTTGCATAATCGTTATACATATGTATATTAATGAAAAAAAGTTTTATATATACAGTAATCTTCAAAATAAATAAAAAAATTTTTTTTGCTACTTTTGGGGGTTTTTTTTTTTTTTTTTTGTTAAAAAAAAAAAAAGTATCTACAATTTTAAAATTTTTAATACCTTCGGTCTTATATACTTTGTTACAAAAATTATATTAAAAATATTATAATTGTAAAAAAAATTTTTTTACAAGACTTTATGTAATTTTCCGCGGAAACAATTGTTAACAAGTATGTACTTGATCATTTTATTGACCTGCCATTCTTGACTCCACTCGTTTAAGATCCATTCGGTCTAAAAGCGCCGTTTGGTTACGGAAGGAAAGGAACAATTAGTAATTTAATAATATAAATTTATTTGACTTGTTATAATTAAAGTAAAACCAGTGTGATAACAATGAGTCTGAAGACTTATTGTTTATATAAGACGACGAGTAGTGATATAAATAAAAAAGGTCACCGGAAATATATAAAGGTCTTTTTTTTTTTTTTTATGATATGTATTATTAAGATATTTATTATTGATAATATATTTATTAAGATATTTATTAAAAGAATATATTAAAACATTTTATTAAAGCATTTATTCAAAACATATAATAAAAAACCTTGTGATAAATATGTTCACGACTTTAATTCACGTGGCTAGTTTTCGGACTCGAGATATGTAAAATTAAAGTAGCATCAATCGCGCTCTAACCAAGAATAATTCCTTATTGCACCGATAAAGAGAAATTGTGTAAATAACCTTAACATTCACATATAAAGAAGCAACATGACTAATTAATAATTAAGAACGGACTTAACTGATATTTATTTTTAAATCATCTTAATTGATTTAGAATAAATAATATATTTATTTGTAATATATATTATATATATATATGATATATAAATGATACGTATATAAACGATATATATATGATATATATATGATATATTATGATATGTACGTATATACAGTATATTTTATACAAGACAAAAGAAACACAGTCACGTTAATTACATCAATACATTAATTGTATTGAATCGATTTCTCAATTGGATCAAGAAATGAACTACCTCGAGTTTAACATATGCTTCCTTATCATACACTTATCGGGCATTGGTTAACCATTAATTTATTTTTCGTGAACGCAGTAATCCCATTATAGAACATGCTTTATTTTTGGTCCGTACTATTTGTTTCGGTCCCTCGGATTTACGTTTATTTTCGTAATAATCTTCCTTTTCGATGAAAACTAAAATAGTAAGTTAATGGCTGATATGGCTGATAAAATTATGATATAAAAAGTTACTTTATTTATAATCATACATTTCTTTCATTTTAATCTACTAGGATGATGATATCCGCCTCGAATATTTCTTTTATGCGTTTTTTTGGTTGGGAATCATGACAAATAAATACCATTGTTGATCACAAGCCCTGCATATAGCTATATAATCATTTTAGAATATTCTGAATCGGCATAATCCGCCACAGTTTTTAGTTAAATTAACTTGACGATAATCATCTTCATTATTCAAAAAGACAAAAAGAAAAATTTTATTTATTTCAATCCTTTATTGAAAAAAAAAAAAAATTATAATGGACGCTGAAGCGAGGAGAAAACATTGTGGTCTTTTGATGTTTGATGCTCCAACTGTGTCCACAAGATCTCAAACATCAAGGAGCAATGACATTATCATTAACACTATGTCAACGCGGGGAGTTGACTCTTCCGCGTTAAATAATAATCTCACCTACGAATCCTCCCGTAACGCTAGTTCAATGATCAACGATTTTGACTTTCAAGACTGTACTTCTGACTTTTCTACTACCACGCGCGCTCTGGCCGCTGGAGCTGCTGCTGGTGATGAATTTATGCATCAAGGTTCTGGCGATTCGCCAAATGGTGATGAGTCTGTTCAAAGAACTGGTCATCCTCAAAAAAGAACCCCAAGGCCTCCCAATGCATTTATTTTGTATCGTAGGGAAAAACAACCTGCAATTATTGCCGCTAATAGACATCTCTCAAATGCTGAAGTTTCTAGAAGAATTTCAGATATGTGGAAAAACGAACCTGAAGAAATTCGTCGAGAATGGGAAAGATATGCGGATCGAAAAAAACTTGAGCATATGCAAGCATATCCTAACTATGTCTACCGTCCTAACAAGAATAAATCCAAAGTTGATAAACGTAGACAACAACGTAAACAAACGTCTCCAAGGGATTCCGCTGACAATAGGAATTACCCGGTCTCAACTGGGACTACCGGTCCTCACAGAAGAAAATCCACAAGAAGTGGAAATAGAAGCCCTGCAAAGTCAGATTTTAATGAAGGCTTACAACAATCACCGATTAATGTGCCATCACAAGAAACAAGAAATGAACCCATCCGAAATGACACAGTACCCTCAAATTCTTCATATACAGTTCTTCCAAGTCCGGAGATTCCCACATTAGTGGATCCCCCCACAGAATATGGAACTCAACAACAAATTAATTCAGTTACATCTCATTTACCACTCACACCAATTTCTCCACCTCAAATGCAATGCGAACAAGAATTTAAAGTTCGTCACCAACAATATGACCCAAATCTTTTACGATACGTTCCGGGGGGTATTCAAGTTTATCATAATCAAGGAAACACACCACAACTCCCCTTCACGTCCATGGACGGATTTATCCCTTCATATAATCACGGCGCAAACGGATATCCTTTAGATTATTATTTTGCTTCAGATGTTCCAGATGTAGCACAACAACAACAGCAGATGAACGCGGAAACCATGCTTCATTACGAACATCATCAAATTACACCTACACCTACCGTTTCATCCTCCAACAATCCATCCCCTAACGAAAGAACCTCCCTATATCCGCAACAACCTGCTCAATATTATCATAATGGAACGAATACAGCTGGTAATGTCATCAGCAATCCGACGTTTGTTAATTTTCTCGCAGGATACGAGCAAAACTTTTTGGGTGGTTCTGTGAATCATCACATTCAATAAAATTTTCTTTTGTTATTATACACTTTTTTTATTGAGAAAGAAAAAAAAAAGCAAGAAAAAAAAAAATTGTGAAAAGAAGAAAATATCAAATATAAAAAGGATTTCTTTTTTCTTTGGCTTTGGTTTTTTTTTTTGGGTTTTTTGGGTTTGTCTTTTCTTTTTTCCTTTTTTTTTTGAATTAACATTGATGTAAATTTTTCTTTTGCCTTTTTTATATTGTATACAAATGATCGTTCTTATATTTATTATTATATCTCGTTGTTTTTCTTCTTTTCGTTTACAGTCGTTTCCAACGGTTTTTTTTTTTCTCTCTCTCTTTTCTCTGTTGTTCTTTCTTAGAGAATAGAACAATGAAGTTTGTAGCATATACACAACTATATATATATATATATAAAATATAAATTTTACAATACTCTAGAATTTCGTGATGTAGTTTTTTTTTTTATTTGGCTAAAATGAATTGTGAACAGAAAGGAAAACATTGTCATATATTGATCATATAATATTGATCATATATTGACCACATTGATCATGTCGGAAGTGTGTTGTTGTTGTTGTTGTTACAAGAAGTTCAGAAGTTCGTCGAAGGCTAATATTTTCACACCAAACTTTATAAGTTCTAAGCACACACCAAACACCAAACAATCATAAGTTCTAAGAAAAGTCATCAAATAATTCGTATTTTTTTTTTATAAAGAAAGAAAAAAAAAAAAAAAAAAAAGGACGAGCGCGCGAGTTTTTGCGAGTCAACAATTAATTGATAAGTTTTCTTTCGAAAGATTTAACCATAGCTTTCAATAGTTTTTGGTTTTTATCGAATTTAAGTTGAGACCTTGGTTTACATAGTCTCTTCAAAAAAATCACATTCCCCTTCCTTGCCTTCCTTGTATTCACATTCATTTTAGACAAAACAAAAAAAAAACATTTCTTTACGTATTAGTTTGATCGTTTCTGTCCGTGTGAAATGGATTAAATCCGTTCTTTACAAAAACAAAAAATATATATATATAACTTTTTATTTATTTATTTTAAACAAAAAAAGAGAAGATTAAAAAAAAAAATAAAAGTTGGGTTTATTAGTTGGTTTTCTTTGTTCTTTAAAAACGTGTTGTACAGTACAAGTGTTTGTTTATGATTTGTCAAATGGTTCATTTAATGGTTTGTTAAAATTCATATAGTCGACTCTTTTGAAGTATTTAGAGAAAGTCTAAATATTTATCGGAATTTATACTTGAATCTAAATTGCCTCTGCATTTTAGAACACTTAGAGGACATGCGCATACAGAGAATCGATTGTATATGTCTTTAAAATATATATTTTTTTATTTAACAGCTTGGTAAATTTACATACAGTATATATGCCTTGAAAAATATTTCTTGATTGACATTAAATTTTTTTACTCAAAAAATAAAATCAAAATTTGGAAATTTATTTCTAAATAATTATCTGTACGTACATAAATTCAGTACCTCGTGGGATCAATCTGAACGCATGCTCAATGTATCTCATGGAACCAATTTGAACGCATGCTCAATTCAAGATCGTTTTTAAGATCATTAAGATCATGGACAGGCATATTTTTTAATTGTATCAAAAAGCATGTTTAAGAACCTTGCTCTTTTTCGTAACGCCCGCATAAGAAACATAAAAAAAAAAAAATTGAGATATCACATACACATTTTTATTTATTTATTTATTCGCACCTACATTAAAATTTAAACATTAAAAATCATCGAACGTATCACTTTTGAAAAAAAAAGTTTATTTCTAAAAATTGTTTTTAATACGTATTTGCTATGTCAAAAAAATAATCCAAAACGATGATTACATGAATGATTACATTTTTGTTCGGAGATGCCCTTTGCGTAATCTTTCTTGACTATTGCTATCCAGACAATGCAGATAAATGACGTAAGTACGTATGTACTATACATACTATTTAAGATCGTCAGGATTGATTGTCATTATGAATATGAATAGTACGAATGAATGAAACGATAAAAATCTACAAATATACACAACTTAATAACAATAATAATAATAGTAATCCTTGGGAAGATTAAAATTTCTTAAATATCTCTGACAATTAAAATGTTTACAATTAGATGTTTACAATTAGATGTTTACAATTAAAAATGTTTACAATTAGATGTTTACAATTGAATGTTTTAAAGAAATGTTTACGATTAATGTTGGCAAATAATGTTGACAACAATTAGCATTGATGATTAGTAAATGCTGACAATTAGAAATGTTGATGATTATTGCTGACAATTAAGACAATTGAAGTTGGTGTTGACATATTTTTTACGTCATTAAATCGATAAGAACTTTAGTCACTAAATTTGATAAGAACTTAGTCATAAAATTGATAAAAAAACTTGTAGCAAGAAATTGTTTCATTAAACGTTTCATTGTCAAAAAATTTTCTTACATAACAAAGCGAAAGTTAATCCGTTTTGTCCATTATAAAGTGAAATGTAAATCTATTGTAATGTTTGTTTGATCACATACCAATTTTGTTTTCAAGAATTTTTTTTTCTTTTGATTGGTAAATAAAGAAAATGATAGGTACGTACATACATACAATACATTTCTATTTTACCGATTTTTTTTACTAATTCGAGAATTTGTTTTATGTAAGCTGTATTGGATGTTTGCTTTCGAGAGATACCATATTTAGAAGCATCGGTCATATGAGTCATAAAGTATGTACGACGCTAAATTGGGAACACAAGGCGTAGTAAATTTTGACGCGACCTAAAAGGATATAGTAATGTGGTTGAATAGTAATACAAAAAAAAGAAAAAATTATATTATGGCAAGTGACCTTCCTTTATAATAATAATTAATAACAGGCATAATTTAGAATTTTAAACGATTCTTTAAACTTATATTATCTCGGATATTATTCGGATATTATTCGTACGTGCGTATATTATTCGTTAGACTATTCATATATTATTCGTATAAAAAATTGTATTGTTAAGCGTATAACGGAAATGGAGATTGAAGGAGTTTGAAGCACTAGGATCATGCATGGATATTTGTCCCCTGCTTTTAGTAATGCTTTTAGCGGTGCCTTTAGCGGGACTTTTAGCGGGACTTTTAGCGGGACTTTCAGCGGTGCTTTCAGCGGTTAATGAAATTTTTTTAAACCAGATTTTAGTTACAAAAAACTCCTGGATGACATTGCTGGATGACATTAATTGATGACATTGTATTCCTTTGAAACAATCATCAAATATAAGCAAAATGCAATGGATTGCATTAAGTACTTCAAAGTCTTGTTTTCCAATCCTGAAGAACAGGATTTAAAAGGTAACAGGAAGTATAAGAGGACGGATATAGTTTTTTTTTACTATTTTCATATGATTTTATTGATTTTCGGAACATGCTTACATGAATTAAGAAAAACATGCATTAGATATGTATTGTTAAATAATTACATTTAATCGGCAGGTTTATTATTATGTGTCTCCGTTTGTACATTTATATATACTGTATAAAGAAAAATATTGGATTAACTTCACTGTATTTAGAATATATGCGCCTTTGTATGAGATTTAAAAGTACGGGCTGTATGGCGTGTTTATAAACACGCATATATTAAACACGCATATATTAAACACGCATATATTAAAAAGAAATTAAAGCTTTTAAAAAAAAGCACAACAACTTACACTTTTAACGCGCTATTGGTTCAAACCAAATGCGATTATGATTTTGGGAAAAAGTTTGAACAAACGACTAATAAATGCTTGGG